GAAATGATGCATGCATAATACCATTAATGGAAAAGAAGATCTGTCCATGACTAATTTAGTATTTAGCCATGGCCATGCTTGATAGATTCCGTTGTGATTAAGAGTCATAAAGAATGAATCAATTTTGTCACCTAGATTATCAAATGGATTTTGTAAAAATCAAAAAAATACTGCAAAAATAAAAAGCAAAAAATCACAACCAACTAAAGCTAGAAGCAAAACTATTTTGAAGAGGAGGCGAAAGTCAAAACTAGCTTCAACTTTTGCACAGTTTCGCTACTAGCTTTATGACAGACATATACCCATGTTTGAAAGGAACATTGTATAGTTTGGTCCACCTTTCTTGCTTAATAATTGGTTGATCGAATGTTTTGCTCATGTATTAATTTTAACAAAGTCTTTGTTTTTCTGGAATGGAGTATAGTCACTTGGTTTTATTTCAGAGTTTAATATGGTGATATTGTCAATTCTGCAACTAAAATCTGGTCTCTTGAGAGAGTTATCAACAGATTTGTTTAATCTTACTTCATAGTTTTTGAAGTTGTGACAGAAAAAAGGTTTTAATAGTGGATGAAGGTAAAAACAACAATGTTCATCTTCTGTCATTTTTGGCTTTGGTACCAATTAAGGTTGTGGGCGAAACCTCTTAATGACTGTCGAAACTCTGTCGAAACTCTAATGAACAATTAATGTGTAACCTGTCAAAACTCTGATGATTGGCAAAAACCCCAAATGCGAAACTCTGCCGAAACTCTAATAAACAATTAATGTGTAACCTGTCAAAACTCTGTCGATTGATTTCTGGAGGAGTTTCTCCCGCAACCTTAGTACCAATGGAAGCTCATCCTTTCTAATGGGTGTAAAATAATTCAAATTTAGTCTTTTTCCAATGAATTTTGTTTTCAGTTTTTTTTTAATCATTCATGTAATATAAAAAAGATTCTTGATCAAGTCACTTACAATATGTTAAATATTCTATAAGCCTTTTTGTCAAACTCACTATCACCATTTGATTCGAGAGTATAATCTAATCCAATTGCAATTTGACTACAAGTGTAGTATAACGATGTTGAAATCGGTGCCAATATCGATTCTTTCATTTTATATGGATTTGTGTCAATTATCTGCTTCCATTCTGAAGAGGTAAACATATTGTACGGACAAGGCCATGTCAATACAATAATTGAGGTGAGCGCCCTAAGTAAATAAAAAAATGAGTAATACTGGTATACAATTCAACTATAAATATTTTAGAACACTTACAAAACTTCGTGTGTATCATTCCAAGTCATTTTTCTTCCTTTGGTTGTTATTTCCGTGATTAACTGTGACTGAAATTTCCTGAATTTGCTTGTCACGTTAATGACACCAACTATCCACTATAGATAATTTACAAAAAAGTATGTTGTATCTACGTTTTATTGTATATTACTAAGCAAATAATCAAAAATATGGTTTACCGCATACCTCATTCAATGGAACAGACTTCAATTGACGCTTTAATTTATCGAAATTAAATAATGAGGGATCCTGATGTACAAAAGAAAGAAATGATTCCACAATGTAGGAGAAAATTCAATATACTTTATTCGCTATTTAATCTAATTAAATTAAAATAAAAGGAAAAACAACTTAACCAAATTTTCTTTCTCTTCTTCATCTACTACAGCTTCATCTCTATATTAAGAAATTAAAAATGGATGTAAGTTTACATATATGTTAAATTTTCATAAACCACCACCATTCTTTGTTAATAACTAGAGTGACGACGAGTGGCGGGCGATAACCACCACCACCATCCTTAAAACACTTACCTAACAACAGCCTCATCGGCATTTTGTTTTTGCTTTCTTTTGTTCGATCCTCTGGAAGACATATTTTTAAAAATAAAAGTTTTGTGATACAATTGACGCGTACACTAATTATTTATCCATTGGTTTATTTGGTAGGACAGACGCGAATTGATTTTTTTTTTTTTTTTTTGGAAAAACAATTTATTTTTTGACAGAGCCCAAGGTGACAAAACGTGAGTGTTGTTGTCTGGCTTGGTTTGGGTCTCCTAAAGAAAATGTGTTAATAATAGAGGTACTTTTTTTTATTTGTATTGATATTTTTATTTTATTATAAACATTTTAATTGGAAATCAAAACGCGGAGCAGATCATTGTTGGGTAATTACAAGATTTTCATTGATAATATTTTACTTTTTGTAATCAATATTAATAATATTATTATAATCATAAGAAGGTGTCAAGGCAGAATACTGTTACAGAAGTAACATTTTGAATATGCGACGTTTGATTATCAGAAATTGGCAGGTGTTGAAGCACGCATGCTACCTTAAACACTTTACAGTCATTCACACATCTTCCTCGTGTACAAAAGGCTAAACCGACCTGCGACGCCCAAGGATACAATGATGCAACCAAATTCCAGATGGGGGTGGCATGGTCCTGGAGTTTATCGAGACTGCATCAATCGTCAATGACGCTTTCACTAATCTTCCCTCACCAGAGAAGGCTGCTGGCATGCTGGATGAAAAGTTGCCTGCAACTATCCTACCTCCAGGGTAAGGATGGCACTGTGACCAAGTCGCAACTCTGCTGATGAATATTAAGAGAACCTGCAACTTGTTTCAAGCACAGGAGGTCGCAATTCAGAGCAGGGTTGGTGGCCCTGAAATTGCATTTAGACACTGATGTTAAGAGGGAAGTTGTAAAATAGTGTTTGTTTTGTATAATCACTTTCATAAATGCTCTGTTTCTCTGATGCTAACCAATTTATGATTTTGGGTAGGGGATTGAAATGGGTTTTTGCCCAATCAGTTCCCTGTCCTGTAGGTTAAAATTGTCACATGATTATATACATCCTTGTCAGTGATATGGCCAACAAGAAAAAAGTTATAAAATGGTTCGGATTTTGTTTGGTATGTTTTGTAATAAATTAATCATTTTCCCAAATTTTCTGCTTCTCTTTAATTTTTATCTGACCAACTGAACTTGTTAGTTTAGTAAATGGGGGTAGGGTTGTTGGTGATTAGGCATGCCACTGACAAGACAGGGGACGCCTTTGGGATATACCAGCCAAACTCATAGAAAGGGATCTTTTGTCCAG